ATCAGGGTCTCAGAGTTTAAAAACATCCATTTTCATCCATGTCCTGGGGACAAAACCAGCTCCAACCAGAGCCCATGTGGGCCTGGAATTCATGTCAGCAGTAGAACAGGAAGGCCCAGGGTCTTTAAAACACACTCAGCTTGCACAGGCCACATAGAGAAATATTCTTCATAATCACAAATGAGTTGGGTCTATGGGAGTCTTCTACAAATAAAACATTCACTTTTGAACCCTAACTTGGCTTTTCCCACTTGTGATGGAGACATGAGTTCAAGACACATCCTACTATTCTTTTAATCTATCAAACTACTCAAGTTGGGAAGTCCCTCCTATGGTGCCCAGGCTAAGCTATTTGCTGCTATAATAACAGCCTGCATTTATTGAGTGCTTTCTATGCATCAGGCACTGTGTTAAGCCCTCAACATGCAATTTTTCATTAAGCCCTCCGAATAGCCCTTTGAAATAGGTACCAATATTCTGCCTGTTTTAAGGTAGAGAAATTGAGATGCAGAAGTTTGAGGCAGCTTGTGCCAATTTATACAGCCAGCCAGTGATGGCACAGAATGTAAAACAAGGCTGTTTGCATCCAGGGCCGAAAAAAGGTTACTGCCAGTGAGGACCAGCAAGTCTTTACTATAAAGAGAGGAAGAGCCTGGTCCCTCAGGTAGGGCCAGCCAGGGGACACAGAAGGGTGATGTCAAGTCACAGAACAGCTCCGAGCAGCCACCACGGGCCGGTGCTGCCCTTGAACGTCTCCCAACTTAGATCCTTTTAGAAGTGTGTGATATAGGCTCTCCTGCCTCTTGTAGAAGACTCCTAAATTTGCTCATCCTTCCTGGGATGGGAGCCGTAGTGGTTTGGGGAGCTACAGATGGGGTGGCAGATGGGATGTGAAAACGTATCAGAGTTGCCCAGGATAAAACCATTCATCTGCAAAATTCATATGTTTTTGTGTGGGGCGACTTCATGAAAACAACAGCAAGAGGAACCAGCCGTGCTTGATGCATGAAGTGCCTCTGGCCACAAGCCTGGCAAAGCCGAGTGGCCAGGAGAATCGGGAAGGGGGGTGGACTGCGGAAATGAGATCAGTGAGGTAGAGAGACAAAGAGACACAGGGTGATCTGGAACATTAAAGCCAAAAAAGCTGTAAATAAGATGACTGTCTTCTCTGAACCCCCAAATAGGTTGGGCCCATGGTCTGAGACCGGACCTCTGAGACAGGAGATGCAACGTTGGGTGCAGCTTAGGTACAAAGACTTGACACTTACTGAGCACCCTGTAAGTGTCCAACAGGCTACTGGATTCTATTATTATATTCCAATTTCATAGACAGTAGATTCATTCCCCCTGCCACAAGGCTGGCTGCGTGGTAGAACTTGGACTGGAACCCTACACAATCTGATGGAATCTGCGCACTCACCCTCTGGGATGCTGAGCAGAGCTGGATTCTGAGGGGGAAGTGGACACAGGTATGGCTTCAACTGAAAGTTAACAGAACAGGCTGAGCACGGTGGCTCATGCCTGTAATCCTAGCACTCTGGGAGGCTGAGGCAGGTGGATTGCTGGAGCTCACGAGTTCAAAACTAGCCTGAGTAAGAGCGAGACCCCGTGTCTACTAAAAATAGAAAATCTAAAGCAAGAGGATTCCTTGAGTCCAAGAGTTAGAGGTTGCTGTGAGCTATGACACTACAGCACTCTATCCAGGGGGACAGCTTGAGACTCTGTCTCAAAAAAAAAAAAAAAAAAAAAGGAAAGTCAACAGTACAGGAGGGGTGCCAGCAGGCATACCTCAGGAGGTCTCCAGCTCAGTGCTGCCCTCTGACCTGGGCTGCTGTGACGTCTGAGACCTCCTCATTGAGAGTCTGGAGAAGGAAGAGTTTGGGAACCGTGGGCATGGCTCCTCAGACTTGAGAATAACAGGTAGCTTCCCAGTACCTTTCTTGGACATTGCTGCCACTAGGCAGTCTAATCACTACCCTTCCCAGCCATAGCTCAAGGTGTGGACCTGTTTTCTTCCATAGTTTCTAGGCAGCTTGGGGCCATTTCACTGGTCTGGGTGTGACGACCTTCCCAGAGAAAGCAGCAGGAAGCAGGCTGCCTTTGGGACCAAACAGAACCGGTTCTTACCCTACTGTCGGGGACCCACCACACGACTCAGACCTCATGTGTGCACAGGTTTGCTGCGAGGGTGAAGGGGGTGGCTGCCACGTTAGCTGCCACTCGGCATGCGGGGACATTTCTGAACTCCGTCTTTTCACGGAAGCTGGAGGGAGCATGTTTTACCCACCTCTTGCCCTGGACTTGCCTAAACTCACCTCTTCTCAGTCTTTTGTTGCTGTACTCAGTCCATTTTTAAAAATCTCACAAATGCAACAGTTTCATTTCTGATGTGCTCAGGTTGGTCCCTCCATGAGAAATGGCAGTTAAGTGGAGGCGGTTTTGGCCCCCAGGGGACACCAGCCAACATCTGGAGACATTTGTGGTTGGCACAGTGGGGGAAGGGTGCTCCTGGCATCGAGGGGGAAGAGTCCAGAGATGCTGCCCAACATTCTCCGATCCACAGGAGAGTCCTCCATGGCAAGGAATCACTATCCCCAGTGTCAGCAGTGCTGGAGGTGGGAAATCCTGGTCTAGAATGATCGTCTCTCTCTGGTTTCTCTGCTACTTGGTCCCTTCTTATCTCAAGTCTAAACAGAGGCCTTCTTGCCTTCCTGACCATGCCCCGGCTGTTTTTCTCCCCCTCACCTTCCTTTCTTTACAGCCCTCGCTTCTTGCATGCTGCGTCTCATGCACGATTACCTAATCCCATGTGCTCAACTCAGACATGCTCTCCCCGAGGAGGGCAGGAACAGAAGAAGCCATGTTGCTTTTGTTCATGAAATTCACTCTTTGGTACACACAGCACAGTAGCTGCTCAATAAATGTTTGCTGAATGAGCGAATAAATCATGGTAAGTAAAAATCTGCCCGCAATGATCTATCCCAACCCCTGCTCTCTTTATTCTCTCTCTTTATTCCTGCTCTCCTATGAACAAAAGAAAACAGGCGTCCTTTTAGTGCCTGTCACCTTTCTCAGCTTCAGGAGTGTCTGGTGTATCTTGTACAAACTGACCAGAGATTTTACCCCCCAGCCCCACAACAAGGGCCACGGTCTCTAAGAAGAGGATGGGATTCCCCAGAGCCCAGGACTACAGACAGGACAAAGGACCCTGCTGGGAAGAAGAATGGAGCCCTTTCTGATTTTAAAGAGAGGCCTTCCTTCCATCCCTAATTTGGATCTTAACCCAAAACCCAATCTCTCAGGAATATGTGACCTGGATATTTAATGACATTCATGTTTTAATATTAATGTTAATATTTTCAATGCAATCCTTATACAGATAATGGTACAGGGGAGAGACTTCTTCTTTTTGAGATATAATTATAGTATATCCTAGATTTGTTTCAAAATAAACCAGGGGTGTTGAAAGAGGATGGAGACCCAAAGACAAGAAGACTGGGTGTCAGCAGAGCCAGGTGACGCGTATCTGAGGCTCCTTACGCTATTCTTGATATTGCCATGCACATTTGGAAACAGCCCTCATGAAGGTTTATTTAAGACACCATCACAGAGCTCTCCTAGAAATGCTGTCGCCAACCCTGCTGTGCCGTCACCTTCACTCCGATCCACTTTGCTTCTCTCCCCTGAGAACAAATCAGGACGATGACACAGGCGAAGACAGAGCTGCCCTCTCCGTAGGAAACAGACTTCGTTTTCTTTCTCTCTTTTTGTCTTACCCATCAATGGGGGGTTTTCTTTGCTATGGTCTGTATTAAAGAGCTAAACGTCAGTGTCCCTGCAAGGGACAGGCCTTCCTGGTGGAATGTGAAGGTTGCCACTGCTTGTGTTTCTTACCACTGTGGGGCTGCCGGCTGGACCACCAGCTCCAGACAACGGTGACTGAGCAGGCTGTGGGACCAGTGGGCAGGCCTCCCCAAGAAGCCGTGAATCTGTAGTTGCACACAAATTCCCCTAGTTTTCAAATGTGGCCAATCAGTTTATTTGTTACAATTTGAAAAAGGCCAGACAGGAACACTCACAGGTCTCACGCACAGTAGAGATGCTCTTTGGGATCCCGCCTGGACTGTCAGCCACGCGTCCGCCCTTCTCCCACTCTGCCCCCTTAGAGCTTAACATTTAAGACAGACTTTGTCCTTCCTCTGCTCAAAACACGCCAGTGGCTTCCATCGTGCTGGGAGTAACAGCTGAATTCTAGACTCTCCATGACCTAGCCCCAATTTACTCCCTGACCTTGTGTCTCTTCTTACATGCCCCCTCACTCACTCTGTTCCAGCCACACTGAGCCCTGCTCCTCTTCCCATGCGCCAGGCACCTTCTCACCTCAGGGTTCAGCCCCTAACGTTCCCTCTGCCTGGACCACCTTCTCCACAGACAAAGAAAGCAACTCACTCTTTCATCATCTTCCACTCTAATGAATGAGGATATTCCTGGCCACTCTTGTCAAAATGACAACCCTGGCCTACTTCTGCCCTTCGCTTTATTTTTATACTATACCATTTTACTTATTTTGTTTGTTGTTGTCCTTTTTGTTTCTTTCTTTCTTTTTTTTTTTTTTTTAGTTTTTGTAGAGACAGGGTCTTGCTATATTACCCAGACTGGTCTCACGCAATTCTCCCACCTGAGTCTCCCAAAGTGCTGGGATTATGGGTGTGAGCCACTGTGCCCGGCCTGTCTCTCTACTTGAATGAAAGCTCCATGCACAGGGGTTTCAGCATCTTTAGTGCAATGGGACATCGTTGGACAGAGCTAGAAAAACCATGTGTTCAATAAATACCTGTTGAATGAGTGAGTGGATGAATGAATGTGTAAATGACTCTGAGGTCCAATCTGCATCCTATGCTGAGAGATCTTGTGAAGACCCTGCATAGGCTCTCTGTGGCATCTCTGCGAAGGGCAGCAGGATGTCACCCTGGGCGGCCTAGAGCCACTGTGTACCTTACCTGATGGGGTAGTCGGCTGCACTGAGGTTGATGAAGAAGTCCCAGGGCCAGTCGGTCATCTCTAGGAGGTCTCTCATGCTCTGCAGGTAGGTGGACAGGAGGCTGGCTCCCCCCCAGATGGTAGCCATCCTCCAGGGTGTAACACGGACATTGCCATACTGCCTGGCGAACTGGAGCACTTGCCGATGCAGGTAATTAGAGCGCTTTTCCCAGGAGACAAAGGGTAACATTCAGCATCCCAGAAAACACCCAGACATGTCCCTCCACCCCTCAGCCCCTCCCTGTCCTTCTAGTCGACAGTGCTTCTGAGCACAGTGAACTTTGCCAAGTAACTGACTCTAGCCTAGGGTGTCTTTCTGCAGTGCTATTCAAGATTGTATTCTTTAAAAAATTTCACATTAGATGTTTGAAAGCTGTGTTCCCTGGGTCCATCTCTGAGCTAAGGGTCACTAGGCTTGAGCTGGTGGTAACTGGCACTCTGCATTTTTATACAGGACAGGTTCTTGTGGTCTGAGATAATAAGCTAAGAAATATGTCTCTACCTAAACCTGATGCATACATTTAGGGGTAGAGCTTCAGTTTGGGGTCAGCTCTTTTGGATAAAGCATCCCCTTTGCCTTCTTGACTAAGCCATAATCATGTCCCATCAGCCAACCAACAGAAATCTCTGGGACATTTATAGCACAGGAATTAGTGAGGCTGCCATAGGTTTTATTAATAAAGTTCTTCTTTTCTTTTTTTTTTTTGAGACAGAGTCTTACTATGACACCCTTGGTAGAGTGCTGTAGCGTCACAGCTCACAACAACTTCCAACTCTTGGGCTTAAGTGATTATCTTGCCTCAGCCTCCCAAGTAGCTGGGACTATAGGCACCCACAATGCCCAGCAATTTTTTTGGTTGCTGCTGTCATTGCTGTTTAGCTGGCCTGGGCCAGGCTTGAACCCTCCAGCCTTAGTGTACATGGCTGGTGCCCTACTCACTCTGCCTCAGGCACCGAGCCTTGTTAATAAAGTTTTATTGGCACACAGCCACGCCCATCTGTTGACAAGTTCCCTGTGGCTACTTTTGCACTTCAGGGGCAGTGCTAACAGACAGCACATGGCTCATGAACCCTAAAGTACTTACTATTTGGCCTTTTATAAAATGGGTATTCTCATGGGATGGGCATTCCCACCAAGTATGTGAGTGCCAGGCAGAAGGCACAGGGTAGTGAAGAGAAGAGGTAAGAGAAACAGTGTTTATGGAGAAAGTGGAAAGTCACAGCTAGAAAGTCTGAAACAAATATACACACACACTCTCATGCACAGCACCTCACGACCACACGCTCTGAGGAAAGGCAGCTGGTCATCTGCTGTGCCTGCTCTGAGGGGAGGCAGCTGGGAGCAGTGATGGAGGAAGAGGGTATCAGAGAGGGAGACACAGGCCTAGGAGGGAGCCCAGTGTGAGGTGACAGAGGAGGCGCCTCACCTTGTCCACATGGATGTAGTAGAAGTGGTCTTTGTGGTAGATGGCCTTGAACATGCGCTGCAGCTGCCGAGAGGCACGGCCGTGGACCACCAGCACGAAGGCAATTCTGACCGGGTTGGCCGGCATGTACTCCACAGAGTCCTCGTCCCACTGGACGTTCTTGTTGGCTTTGCCTGGGGAAAATCCAAGAGACCACAGAGGTCAGGGTGAGGCTCAGCCAGCCTTTGGAGAGTGGGACACTTCTCCAATGCTTTTTATTTCTTTGAGATAGGGTCTTTCTTATTCACCTGGGCTAGGGTGCAGAGACATCATCATAGCTTATACAACCTCAAACTCCTGAGCTCGAGTGATCCTCCTGCCTCTGCCTCCTGAGTAGCTGGGACTACAGCCATGAGCTACTTTGCACAGTCAATTATTTCTATGTTTTATAGGGACAGGGTCTTCCTATGTTGCTCAGGCTGGTCTTGAACTCCTGGCCTCCAGAAATCCTCCCACCTTAGTCTCTCAGAGTGCTAGGATTACAGATGCAAGCCACCGCTCTCAGCCTCTGATGATTTTTCTGGGTCTATTTATAGGGTGTGGCCATCCTGTTGGGGCCTAAAACTTGATTCCACTTAGCCAAGTGTGTCCTAGCTCCTCACAGTGCCCAGGCTCAAAAGGGGCAGAGGACCCTGGGGTACTAGGTATAGTTTCCATCCCCCCGAAGTTTAAAAAGGCTGGTGGAGACATATGGACATGTATTATTAAGCTATCAAGCGAGGCAGGAGGAGGTGAGAGCTATAAGAGATGTATTTTCAAATATCAGGGAAAGAAGCAGTTAATTCTAAGTTAGGGAATAAAAGATACACATCCCATTTTTGCCTATCCAGAATCCATTTTCCCTTCTTCTTCTTACAGCTTCCAATATATCTGTTTGTTTGTTTCAGCTGGGTAAGAACAGATAACATGAAATGCATCCTCTTGGCCAGCATGTGAGTGTACCCTACAGCACTGCTAACTGCAAGCACAGTGTTGTACAGAGATCTCCAGAAGACATTCATCTTCCATAACTGAAATTCTGTCATCCATTACCTTTGGGGGCATCACCCCCTTCCTTGTTTTCTTTCCATACAAATGGAGAGAATCCAACTCCATATCTCTTCCAGGGCTGGTCATATGAGTGAGTCTAGCCTAGGCCTGGCCACTCAGAACACTGAACGTCCCTGGCTACAGAACTGTTCAGAGACAGATATGTGACCCAACCAAGATAATTAGCCAATGAGACAGAACTCCAGACTTCTGAGAAAAGAAAGGTTCTCTTTCTGTTTGACAGAAGATTGGCTGATTCTAAGAGCCTTTCTGTTTCCACACAGAGAGAGGCTGCCTGAGGAGGAACTCAAGGCTGAGGGAGCACTACAGAGTGATGGTGAAGGTCCAGTTCCAGTGACCCAGTCTGAGCTGCTGGGCTGGCCAGGCTGGCTGAGGTTTCATCACCATCATGTATTATTTTCTAGATATGAAGCCGGATCCTACCCCAGATCTGCCTTGGATGAAGGCTTCCAGATACCCTTTTATCCTTAAATCAGCCTCAAAGATTCCTCCCTTTCTTTCCCTTGCAAACACTCCAGAGCTAAAGCACCAAGGAGAAACACGGCTTCCTGGTTTAGTTCCTTATAATTTCAACGAGGGTCCTCCTGGCTTTTCCTTTGTTTGATTTCCTTGGATTTAATTCGATTTCTTATAGGGTCCAGGTTTGTGCTCAGTGGTTAGGGCGCTGGCCACATGATCTGGGGTTGGAACATTTGAACCTGGCCTGGGCCTGCTAAGAAAAAAAAAAAGTCCCTAACCTTTTTGGGAGCAGTTTCATGGAAGACAATTTTTCCATGGACTGGTGGTTGTGGGGGATGGGACAGAGGGTGGGGTTCAAGTGGTGATACTGTGCAGCCCAGGGATTGGGGATTGCAGGGTTAGGGGATCCAGAACATCATCAGGGTAGTAGCTTCAGGTGTCCCAGAATATGAACAGGGAAAGCTTAGAATAGAGACAGTGTAGCCAGGAGATCAGGGGTCTGTCAATTGTTATTTTTTTATTTTTATTAAATCATGACTGTGTACATTAATGCAGTCAGGGGGTACAGTGTGCTGGTTTTATATACAATTTGAAATATTTTCACCAAACTGGTTAACATAGTCTTCATGGCATTTTCTTAGTTACTGTGTTAAGAGAGTCTGTCAATTAGTATCAGAAGGCTGAATGGCTGCCAAATGAATGAGGCTCTTTCTGAGTCTGATTTTGAACAGGTGTGCTGTGAAATTTTTAAAAGATCATTAATTAAATTATTTTCAAAAGAAGTTCAAAGCACAGTAAAAGTATTCATTTACTTATTTTATTATTATTATTTTTTTGATGACCATAATTTAAAGTATGCCGTGGAAGTTCAACTATAGGTTCAAGTGTGCCGTGAGATCAAATAGCTTGGAAAACACTGTTCTAAGTTATGGCAGAGGACAGGATGAGACTGACGTGGATGATGTCCAAATCATACTTCACAGCCTCCACGGCTATCCTCACCTGGCTCCTTACACCGCTTTCCCTGGACTGGTTTCACTTCCCACCTCACTACCTCGCCTTCTTTCTCTTCCTCCAACAAGCTCATTTCTGCCTCAGGACCTTTGCACTGGCTACTCCTGTGACTTGGAACATGCTCTGCCCAGATCTCTGTGTGGCTGCATCTTCCTATCATTAGCTGATAGCATTAAAAATGGCCTCTTGCCCCTCATCACATCTTTCACTCCCTTGCACCTCAGCCTAGTTCAGTTTAACACTGTCTGAAATTGATTACCTGCTTACTTGTCTATTGTTTGAACACTCTATCAGGACATATACACTCCAAGAGATGGACTATTTCAGTCTTGTCATTAAATATGCAAGGCTGGAACAGTATCTGGCACACATCTAGTTCTTGGTGGTTAAAAAAAAAGAAAAATTACAGGATGGTGCATTTTGGCTTTTATTGAACATCAATCAGCCCTTGACATTCATTATGTTATTTAATCCTCATAATGATCCTGTTAGGTAGTATTACTACCCCTATTTTCCAAATGAGGAAACCATAGCTTAGAGAGATCAAGGGATTGGTTCAAGGTCATACTACTTTAATTAGTTAAGCTGAGGTTCAAGCACAGGTCTGGTTCCAAACACGACATCCATAACCACTAATATATACCACATCATCATACCTGGAACTTAAAAAGGAAAAGTTTATAACAATTATGCTTGTGGCTAATGAAGTATCTTATGAGTTAGTTATTGTAGGCAAATAGTTATACATTTAAGGACTGCTGCCATAGGCATTTCTGTATTACAGGAGAGGCAGACTCTCGATGACAAATAAGGCTACATCTTTATATCCATCCACCCATCCATCCATCCACTTGCCCATCTATCTATGCCTCCATCCATCCATCCATCCATTCATGCATCCATCCATATATCTATCCATCTATCTCTCCAAATACAGCCACTCATCCACTCACACACACAGTGAACCATCCAATTATTCATCCAGAGAAGCAACCATCAGCCTATCATCTCAAATACCATCTATCCATTCAAGGCTTATGGGGCCTTTGGGATCAACTCTTGCTTTTCCAACCAGCCATGAATGTCTCTTGCTGTGGTTGTCAAATGAGTGCATGAAAGAATGATTTGTCCTGAAGAAGAGTGGTCCAGAGGAGCTGATGTTTCCTAGGCACCTGCTATGCATCTATACTGTGGATGCACTGGGCTCTGTACTGTTATTATTTGGCCCTGGGAAAAATGCATTGTCCTCTAAAGCTCAGAGAGGTCATTATGTTCCCCAGGTCACATAGTAAGTGAGGACATAGGCAGGAGGGCAAACCAAGCATTGCTGAGTCCAAAGTCAGCCCTGCTGTTTCCACTCACCCTTTGCTGAAGCCAAGACGGGAGATAGAAAGGGTTGTATGGAGACCCTGTGATGATCTTTAAAAGGCACTTGGACACTGACATTGAGAAAAAGTCTCTTGTAACTTTAGGGTGTTAGAATGCTGTTCAGATTTACAGACAGACAAACAGGGACATGGATGCATTTCTCTGGGAGAAAGGGAGGGAGTCTTGGGAAGTCACAATTGCTCCAGCAAAAGAGCTTTCTTGGCTTAAATATAAAGTCATCCCTGGGCTAGACAGCTAAGTCTCTGCAAAGAGAATGGGGAACAAAAACCCCAGAGTTCTTCTGGAGGACAGCTATTTTGAGGATGGGGGTGGGTGGGAAAGAACAAAACCATCTAAAGAAAGGAATCACAGAGAGAGTGAGAGATGGAAATGGGGAGGAGAGGCAGGGGGAGAAAGGTCAGCCATGTACCGAGTGCCTACTATGTGGTGAGCAATTCTCTGCATGGCCTTACGCACTTCTATCAGAAACTCTGAGAAGGGAGCTGTCACCTCCCTATTGTAAGGATGAGGACGTGGAGGCTCAGGGGGGTCCCTCTGAAGAACTAGCTGAGCTGAGAAGGAATGAATCTGTGACCTGGGAGCCCTGTCATTGTCACTTCACTCCATCAAACTATCCCTGTTTCACAAAGAGGAAGGTCTGTTTCTAGATGTGCATCAGCTGACTTTCAGCGGCAGGACAATGACAATGATGTGTGGTCAGAGCTACACGGAGCTCTTTGAAAGACTAAAACCCCAATACTGCCCAGCTCCTTAAAAAAAAAAAAAAAGAGCTATGAATTTAACAATGTAATCAGATTCCTGTGGCACAAAACAGAAAATAAGTGGAAAAATCAGAGTGATTAGAGGCAGCGGGAGAAGCTGACTTCAGATGAATGTTAAAAAGCCAGGTTGATGGGGGGAGAATATCAAGTATACTTTTTCAGTGCAGGTGTGAAGGTGGAGGGCGGGGAGCCGTGGACAGCTCCACCACTAACTAGCTGTGCCACACCAGGCTTATTACTCAAATTCTGTATTTCTCAAGCATCACTGTGAGTCAGGCCAGGACTATGCCATTCTCAGGCTTCAAAGAGATAGCAGAAGTCAAAGTGCTTTGCCAGCTCAATGTGCTGGATAAACGTTGTGATACTGGTGATGATCATGGATGTGGTACCTTGTGGCAATGTGATCTGGGAAAAGAAGGCAAGATGCAGGAGTTTAAAGAGAAACTGGTGGTCAGGCAGGT